CGAGTCGTAACAATGTATCTCCGGCAAGAGCTCGTTTATTCTGAGCCGCGCATGCCCAGAGGCAGGAGACTCGTTCTCCCTGTTAGACCCACAGCGGCACGAGAGCGCCCCCACTGGCAAGACGACACATGCACATGACAAATACGTGTATGAACAATAAAAATAATAATAATAAAAAGAAAACAAAAGACAAGACAAATTCTGATTAAAAAAGGGGGTGTATTCATCTCTCTCTCTCTTTTTTTATTTTATTTTATTTTACTGTTTTTCAACACACTACACAAGTATAAAACTAGCTATGTAGCAGACGCGAACAGGTTTATTGGGAGTAAACCCTGAGTTTCACCTTAAGAGCTGTGTGTACAAACAAAAAACAGTGTAAGCTACGAACAATGCTCTTACAACTATAACTTTTGAACTAAAATAACGTTCACTACTAAAATATCAACTTTGACTCAAAACTAAACCAGTATTCATACATAATATAGAAAATTTACAATTCCGACAGATCATTGAAAGAACTATCCTTATAGACAAATAAACACACCTTGTGCCTCTATAAAAAGAGGGCCGCTAAAAATAAAATAAATTTTGCTAACGCTGTTGCAACTTGTCTTTTGTTCTGTTGTTAAGCCGCCGTTCTACCATATAAACAAAGGAAGCTGTCTTACCAAAATAAAAGCATCAAGTCAAAAACCGGAAGTCTGTCATTTAGTATATAAAATAAAACTAAGTAAATGCAATAAGTGCAAAAAGGGGAATACAACAAACAAATACAGCAATTAACCCCAAACAACCTGGGGTTCGTTACAATCTATATTGATATTGAAAAATCGAGTTAGGCTATTTAAAATAAAACAATGTAATGGACATTTCAGTTTCTAAATAAAACATCTTACATTTGAATTTGAGTTTTGATTAAAGTTAAAAAGTGTTAAATGAAACTAATTCTATTAAGCATCATATTTTAAAACTGTAAGCGTCGTTTTAAGTGTTTTGCACTCATTCACGTATAGTGTTAACAAGAAACATAAATATAACAGTGAATATTTTAGCTACCGTTTTCTTCCATCCATCCATCCATCCATCCATCCATCCATCCATCCATCCATCCATCCATTTTCTTCCGCTTCATCCGGGGTCGGGTCGTGGGGGCAGCAGCTTCAGAAGGGAGGCCCAGACTGTTTTCTTTACTTCTTCAAATGGCCGCGCCCACAGCACGCGTGAAAATAAGAGAAAAACTAGTGGAACCCATCTACGACATTTCCACCCGGAATCTTTTCTCAAGCACACACGTTACGATGGCAACATGTCCGAATCTTAAAGACCCTGACGATGCAGTAAACGACCCTGGTGCTGCTCCTTACGGAAACTTTATAAACTATTACAGCTTTAACCCTCCGGAAAACCGCTTGAGTCTGATCCCAGCAACGCTCCTGCAGGATTTAGGCTACAGGGACGGAGGGGACGAGCCCACGCTCATCCTGGACGTGGGGTGTAACTCAGGGGTACGAAAGTGACACTCTTCCTGTTTGTGTTGTTATTTAAAATGCACGTGGTGATAATAGCAGTCTACGTGCGGTGCCTTTTGTGCGTTATTTAAGTTCCTGTTTCTATTTTGTCACTTTAGTGTATTTGTGTTTGCTGCTGTAGAGTAAAGGTAGATTAATTTAACATATTTTTTATTCCATAAATTGATGACGGTCCCCATCGTCACCAACTGCAATGCCCCACCATGCTTCATATCATAGACCAATAACTAAAGATTGTTTGGGATTTACGCTTATTCCATATAATATTAGATTACATAGAAATGCGAATAAATAATTCAGTTCCTTTATTAATAAGAAAACAAACATTTTGGTGCCAAAAATGCAGTACATTGCATTCATTTCATTTAATGAATGCTTGGTTATTTGTTGCAAAGAAAGCATCTGCAGCAGGAAAAAAAAGTTTCTAAGATCAACATGTGAAAAGTTTATTTTCTATTTATTTTTTAAGTTTTGGATCTGTGATAATTTACACATTTCCTCCCAGCAACATACCTGACTACTTTGTTTAATTAAAACATTGCATTCTTTGTTTATTGTTGTGTAGGTAAAATAATTTATTCTTTTATGACCCTCTATTTCTTTTGACTTCATGATTTTGGCACATGTGGCAAATAGTTAGGACACCCGTGGTGTATACTAAATTTTAAGCAGAAAAGAAAACCTCCTTTTGACATTGTCTGAGCAATAACTCATTTCCTCCTGTGTGAACACCAGGACCTGAGTGTGGCCGTCTACAAGCATCTTGTCCAGGAACCAGGGGAGAGCACAGTTCACCTTCTGGGGTTTGACTTGGATGAAACTCTTGTTGAGCGCGCAGAGCAGACCAACCCTCTCCACAACAACATCTCCTTCATCCAGCTGGACATCACTGAGGAAACCAACCAGCTGCAAGACTTCCTCAGCCAGCACAGCTGCTCCCACTTCCACCTGTGTCTGTGCCTGGCCGTCACCATGTGGGTCCACCTGAACCACGGAGACTCGGGCCTGCTGCAGCTGCTGTCGCGCCTCGCCGCCATCAGCAGCCACCTCCTGCTGGAGGCTCAGCCCTGGAAGTGTTACCGATCTGCAGCCCGCCGCCTCAGGAAGCTGGGCCGCTCGGACTTCGATCACTTTAAGACCCTGAAGATCCGCGGCGACGTTGCAGAACACGCCACGGAGCATTTGGAGAGACACTGCGGCATGGAGCTCATACGGAGCTTCGGCAGCACCGCATGGGACCGGAAGCTGCTGCTTTTTAGACGGAGATGAGTTTTATGGATTTATGGCTTTTAAAACCCCAGTTCTTTGGGACGTAAACAAACAAAACCAAGGTTAACAGTTTCCGCCGTAAACGCAACATATTCTATGTAATTTAACAGAAAAAACAATCTTTTTGGTAAACGATGAAGAAAAGTGGCATTAGTGTACCATGTCGTTTTATGATGGGAGGAAGCAATGCAGAATTACTCACTACAATCAAGTGACTGACTGACTCCAAATAAATTCCTGCTCTTCAAGTTTTTTGTCACATCTTCCAAAACTATACGCTGATTTCATTATCAAGAAGTATCTGCCAGAGGATATGTATAAATAATTTCAATGGTATTAGTTAAAAATAGAACATAGTGAAGACGGTAATAAAAAAACAGAAAATATTTATTTCAAAAATACTTTGTTCATCCCAACGGTAAATTAAATGTAACTAATTTCGTTAAGGAGTTATTGTTTGTACTGATGATGGTGATGCTGTGGGCAGGAAGGATCTCCTTTAGCAGCCAGTCTTCTAATAAATATGAAGAAACCTCTGACTGAAGACAAAATCCAGACACCAGAGAGAACATTCAATAGTAAAACGTCCAGGATGACACCATCAGCAATGCTAATCCACCTCTTTTGCTTTTGCCGCTCCTCCTTAACTCTCAGTCTGGTCGTCATATTTGAACTTTGTCTCTTTTTGAACTCCTCTGGGATAATAGTTCAGGTATTATTTGAGCTTTTGAGATGCTGGTTAGCTGCTCCCAGTTGTCAAAAATAACACATTGTTGCCAAAGTTGCACACCATTCAAAACCAGAGGGAATAAGTGTCCAAAACATGCAACATCTCAACCAACTAATGCAACACAATATGGACACATATTCATACAAGGTATTTTATTGTATTGCTGTGCAATAATAAAGACATTTTAAAAAATAAATAAGGTGGCTACATTTAGTAAAGTCTAAGCAGTCTGATGAAATTAAAGCCGTAGACACATTTGGTGAAACAGAGACGATGAAGACACCTTACCCACCAGGAAGCACGGCAGTGAGGTCATTGTGTTTTCTTCAGCTGAAACTGGAACCTTGGAGTTAAAGTGGAGGGAATGAAAAACGGTTTTAATTACAAGTAAATGTTGATCAAAACCGTATTATTTCTGCCAGAAAACTGGCAATGAAGAGAAGTTTTATTTTTCAACATGACAAAACCCCCCCACAGCATGTGTCTAATTAAAGCAACAACAGGTTGACTAAAAATTTTAAAGTTTCAGGACTGGGTCACACCAAGATCTGAGCTAAATGAAAGATAGATTTGAAGAAGTTTTGGGGAAAAAAAAGTTATGAAGGTGGATAAATATACTAAAAGACTTCTTCCAAAAATTAAATTCATTACTTTTTTTTATAATACCAGAGGAAAACTAAATCTTGCAAGTCATTATGAAATTTACTTTTCAGAGTTGCTGCAGATGCTGACAAAGAATGTCCTGTAGCAAACAGTGTTACAGACTCTGAAGGATCCTCTGACTAAAGACAATAATGTATAATTTTCTAAACTTTAAGTCACAATATTCCCCAAAACAGAACCAGCCTTCTTGTCCCATTGCTTAGTCTTAAGAAAAAAACAAAACAATCTAGATGCTGCTTTGCATAAAAGCAACTCAAATGATCTACTTTTATTAATGACAAACAGTGCTGATTTTTCATATGAGTTTTAATATTGGATTCTGCCTTCTGTCCCAAAGGTGTGTAACGACAGCGCCCCCTGCAGCCTCCAAAGAGCTACGTCTGCCTGACCTGCTTGGCTCTCTCCCACTTTATATTAACACTGACAGCACACAGATTTGTGAATCGGTGGATGGATGTGCAGACACTGACAGCGTTGTGCGGAAATCGAATCATGTGATTTGCGTAGCCTTATTTTTCCAGGCGGTGGGATTAATGAGTTTGACTGCAGAGATTGGTTAGTTTGAATGTTCTCTCCCAGTTTTATTGGTCAGAGGAACTTAGTTATTTTTATCCTGAAGGGTTTATTTACAACAGTTTGCACAGTGCCACCATTCCACAGCAGGTATCACTCAAATAAAGATGAACATGTTACAGCTGGGCTTTTATCAGCTCTGAAATACAGAAAATCTGCTGAATGAGTAACAGGAAGTTGGCAGTTATGCAAAATGATGTGGACTTACTTTTCAATAATGTCTGGCTACTTTGTAACCTATTTTACTGTTTTTACTACTTCTTCCAAGACCAATCGTGTATGAGATTTTCACAGCCGGTAACTCCAGGTATATGTGAACCATGAAAAAGATTACTTGAGTGCTTGTAAAAATGTATGTTCAAATATATTCTGTTTGATGGTGTCTCTTTTAATGCAGAACTGTGAGAAATTGTCACACTTTTATTTAAGGCATTTTTATGCAATACAAACTTGAAATTATGCTCTGCACATGTGACAAAGGCAAAATATATTCTCTACCATTGTTTGGTTAAGTTTTATACAACAAAAGAAAAACTAAATCTGTGTGGGAACAGATAAACATTCGGGGAGGAATCCTTCTCTTCACCACTCGGACAGCTTAGAGGAATGGGAAACGTCCAGTAGGAGTAACAGTCCAGTCCAGGCGACATCAGTCTTTCATGATTTCAGGGTCCTGGTTCTTTGCAGCCAGTTGCAGCTGTTTCTGCTTCTCCCAGTACCGGATTCCTCGCATCGCACACAGGTAGCCTCCGTATGCCGTCAGCAGCATCATTGAGGCAGAAAAAGCGCGGTAACCGATGTCAGCCAGACGCTTTGCCGTCACCATGGTGATGGTCCTGAAGGAGAGGAGAAGTTGGAGCAGCTTCAGCAACTGGGTTTAACTCAACTGGTACATTTAGAAGCTGAAGTTTAGACATTTAAGATAATTACAAGTATATTTTTAAATATGGAAATACTGGAAGCATTTATGTTTTATAAAAGTACACAACTTAGACTGAAAAGTAAAAAAATCAGTCATCTTTCAATAAAATTTACAAATTGATAAGTAGAGTAGTTAGAAGCAAAAAGCTGAGACAAAACTGCTTAAATATCTTTAACTATATAAATAATCTCTAAATATTGGGACCCCTCCATAGCAGAAAGCATTCCAGTAAATAAACTATAATATTTTATCATAATGTATAACGTACAGAAATTAAAGTATAAAAATTAATCTGAACATTTTCAAGTCCAATTTGTTAATTTATTAACAAATTAGTTTCCACTAAAGTGTTTACTACTAATCCTCCGTGGTTCCAACTGATCAAAATATTCATACAAGACATAAGCAGAGGCAGGTAGATTACCCCAAAAACTGTACTGAAGTAAGAGTAGTGATGCTCTAGTAAAAGTAAACATTAGCCATCAAAAGATTATTCAAGAGTAAATACGTATTTGGAAAAATGTCTACTCAAGTACTGAATAGCTCATCATATTATCAATCATTTAATATTTAAAAATTACATTAACAACATGTAAATGTTAAGTGGAAATTTTGCTATTTTAAGGGCCAAAATTACAATTTATATAAGTAACTAAATCAGGCAAAATAACATTTTTCTAAATCAGTTTCTTCCACTATAAAACCTCCAAAACTTTAACAAAAACTGCAGGTGTGTGTTTGTGTCTGGTAAATTTTTGGTTAAAACATGTTTGTTTTCCAATAAGTAGAGAATCCAGAAATTTTACTTAAGTAAGAGTAGCGATACTTTATAATAAAATTAAACAAATACAAGTAAAAAGTGTAGCGTAGTAGAAATATTTCTAAAAGTACATTTTGTTTTTCAAAAACGTTACTCAAGTAAATGTAATTAAGTAAATATAACTAGCTACTACCCAACTCTGGAGATAAGACAATTTCAACATTGCCATACACTTAATAAAATGATCTGAAACATTTTCTATATACACCAAAATAATTTCTCTCAAACATTGTTCATAAACCTGTGATGTGTTTTAGATCTTCAGCTCATGAAAAATGGGAGCAAACGAAAGTGCTGCGTTTATGTTTGTGTTCAGTGTACAAGGCTAATCAGACATATTTTACAAATTACACACACGAAACTAGATTTTAAAAATTACGTTTCTAAAAAATAAGATTTCAGTGCTCTTTTAAAAGAAAGTGTCCTTTTAAAAATCTCTTATATTTTAAGTTATTTATTCCATTCCTGCAGACAACAAATTTTTGTAACAAAAACCCTTACCACAGTTTACAACTTTGTCTCATAACAGTATCTGGTAAAATGGTAAATAAAATGATTCGTGTCAGTCGTTCCCAGTTTTAGAGTTAGAGAATGAATAATTACTTTACACCCAATTGAAATGTGTTTGAGAAATGGAATTACATTTTTCTAAAGATATGTCGACTATCAAAAGAAGCAATAGCATTTAAAAGTGAAATGAAATGACACACAGATTATGGATCTGGTGACAGACGTATCCAAATCAAACAACATAGTTACTCTTAAACGCTCACAGCTCAAGACTGTTGGAATAAATGGATAGAAAATCTGTTTTCTTACCTTTTTTTAATCCAAAAAGTAAACGCAACAAACGATAGTTTCTTTGCTTCAATGTCAGCACACAAGAATCCAGATATCTAGCTAGCTAGCTAACCTTGGTCTTCCATAAGATGCGGAAACTGGTGCTCTGGGGAGAGCGCCACCACGCGGTCAGGAGGCCACATTACACTACCCCTTGAGCTATTTAACTGCCCACTTCCCCCCAGAAAGCGATTCTGAAGAACTCCCTCTCCCTCAGCACTCGGAGGAGTTTTTTTAAACATGACCTGGACGTCTGATGCGGTATATAATATCAGACATATGCAGAAGTTATAATGCAGAAGATATGTAGAAGACAAACACACAGTTTTTTTCATCACTTTAATTACAGAATACTAAAAATAACATTACATAAAATGTCTTTTTCAAAGAAACCATTGAATATTACAAAGGTTGTAAATTTTGTAAAGTTAGGATATAAAATCTTTGAACTGTGGTGTATAATTGAAAAAGAAAAATAAATTTCATAAAATGTATATATTAACTGTTCTACTACATTAAAAAAAGATGAGATGGGGACACAAAATGCAGACAGACAAGATGAGTGGACACCGCCATTACTGCGGTGAGCTCTCCTTTCAAAGGAAGCAAAGACCAGAGATGCACAGCACAAACCACAACCAGCTCTAGTTCTCCAATTAAGCTCATTCACAAATAAAAAAAAAAAAGGAAAGGGGAAACAATTTACAACACAACTGAGCTTGAGAGACGGCAAAAAAAAAAGTGACTTGGTGACTGCTCCGTTTATTCACACGCACCTCGACTAAACTGGCCTTGGTTCCATTAAAATACTTTTTTTTTCCTCCTCAAAAGGTTCACACTGTACAGAAAAAAACCCCCAATCATCCCAATGAAGCAAGGGAATCTGATCAGGCATCTTTCAAGCTCTTTACACAACCAACACTATTTTCTACTGTACAACCCACCAGGCAGATTCACCAAAAGGACGTCAACATTAAAGGAAGTGAGAGACACTACATGAGGGGAAACATGCATTATTCAACAGTGTGCTTGCTTTCTTTCTTTCTTTCTCTTTTATGGTGTCACTTCATCGTCAGCCCTTGTTTTATTTCAGAAAATGTAAGAAAAATGGACATTCAGAACCCGTTTCCCCCCTTCATGTCAGAGAAAAGCTGAGGGGAGGGTTTGCTTTTCCAAAACATGTTTCAAAGTTTCACGATATGGTTTTATATCATGCTTTTTCTGTGAAGCAATTAGTGGTTTCTGTGAGAGAACGTGATATGAGAAGTAGGGAAAACATGACCCAAAAAAAAAAAAAAAAAACGGACATCTGAGACACGCTTTAGGAGGAGGAGAGGCGAGTTACCAGCAGAGCTACTTGTTTTGGCTGGTCTTCTGCTCAGAGGTTCCAGCTGTAAGCTTCATAATGCTGTTCAGGTTCAGAAAAGTCCCCCTGAGTTAGTGCACAGAGTCAGGCGGCCCGAGGCCCACTGGTTTAGAAGCCCACATAAAGAAGAGTTGAGAAAAAAAAAGGTATTTTGAATCAGATCAAGCTCAGAAACCGCTTTGGAGAAGGTAAGCCAGACTTGAGTTTGCGGTGGATGTTAGTGTGGAGGAACAGTCAGGCTTAGCCGCCCAAGTCTGGTTGTTTTTCCAAAAGCTCTGAGAAGTAGGCTTGTTTTTATTTTGTTGTTTTTTTTAACAGATGTGCGCTTCGTTTTGCCTAACCAGAAGACGGGCTTGCGCCGTCCCTTCGAGTCTTGATCCGAACATCGGTCCTGATTCAGGAAGTGGTCAGGTCTGCCCAACAGGCCAGTGGTTTGGGACCCGGTCAGGTGCTGGTGTAGTACGTTACGCTGGCTGTGCGTCGGTCGGTCGGTCGGTCAGACAGACAGGTAAGACAGGCAGGTGGGCTGCGACGCGGTGGGGAGAAGGGGCGAGGTTAGATCAATGGAGCCGTGTCCATCAGGCCTTTGTTTGGGTCCAGGCTGGCAAAGAACCGGACGTCCCGGTCCTTATCAGACTGCAGAGCCATGACGGTTTCTTCCAACTTGTCCGAGTAGGGACAGCCTGGTTCCTTAAAGTAAGCTGAACACAAAAACACTCAATTAGTGGGAAGAAAAGCTGTAAAGGTGACCTGTTGTGCTTCCTTGAACAGGTTAGGATCCGTCTATGGGCGATACAAAACATTCCTAATAATAATAATGAGATTTTAGTCTGGTCACCTATTCAGCGCCTCCTGTCACTTTAAATCCAAATAAGCTGCTGCCAGCCACAACCCACAATGCAACATTTACACTCGCATGTGAAAACAGCTGCAAACAGATGTGCAATTATATAACCATCCATCTGTGAAAAGCATTAGTAGAGACTCATGCATGACCAACAAGAATACAGTAAGTGGGTTGTGGATGGATGGCCAACAACACAACGTTTTTCTTTTCTAGCAGCCATTAGCTGCGTTTCTATCATCACAATTTGACGTTTTGAAAAGACATGTACTTAATGGAGATACGGAAATTTAGAAAAAAAAAATCTCTTGTTTTTTGATTAAAAAGAAAAAGTTTTGGTGCTTGGTTGAGGTGGTTTCTCTAGTCATATCAAAACTCAGTTCAAATTCAAAATATTTCATTGACCCAAAGGAAAATCAAATGTTGCTGTAACTCATTAAAATTCTTCAAAATTGGCTTATTTTGCTTAATTGTAATGAAAACACTTTTCGCATCTCATGATTAATAACCGGATGTTGCTGCTCCCACAAACCACAAAAAATAAGACAGGAAGTAGTTGGAGTCTGATGGTGTGGCAGGTTTTTTAATGACGTGAACAAACTTATTCATGTGTGATTTTAATCACATTTTTTTATTTAAAGGCAAGATTTTTTTTTTTTGACATTTGTGGAATATGAAAAAGTTTTGCTGGAGATCCATTTGGGTTGCTAGGTAACGGAGCAGCAACTCAATAATTGGAAAGTTTTTGAAATGGCTAATTTTCCAGACACCAAAAAACAAACTTGTCAAAAAATAGCAGGGTGTTTGTTTGTACCTCAAATAGAGGTGTAAAATGTGCAGAAAGTGAATTTTGCATAATAGTTCTCCTTTAAACTTATTGTTTGTCAAATCATTGAGCTCATCTCCAAGTTACCTTTCTCCATGATGCTGTGCCGTAAAGCCTTGGCCACCAGAACGCGGACGTTGGCCACCGGGTCGGCAGAGAGGCTCAGCAGGCTGGGCAGGAGGTGCTGGCTGAACTGCTCCATGGGCATACAGTCCTCCTCCACAATGGCCTTCAACAAAAACACAAACACTCAGACTGAGCTGCAACCAGCACCCAGGGAAAAAGTATTTAAGATGCAAAGATGTGACGAGAACAGAAACAATCTAATCAGACCGGTTAATCAAGAAATGGCTTTCTGCCAGAGTTTTACGGTCAAAACGCATTCTCATCCCTCTGGAGATTATAATACTGACATGACATAAAACAACCATTATGGTGTAAAAAAAAAACTATTTTACAATAAAAAAAAATAAAAAAAGGCATCAAAAGCTATAGAAATATTAAAATAAGTGGAGGAATGTACAGACCTGGCAGATAAAAGCAAACGCCTGCCTGCCCACCCACTTGGGACAGTGGCAGAACCTGACTGAGAGTTCGTTGATGAAGTTCAGACCAAGTTCATCGGCCCCACATGCATAAAGCTTCTGCAGGATCTCCACTACCTGAGAGCACAAAGCAAAAAACGAGCCGTCAGTCTACGCTTACCAGGAATAAACAAGCATTTTATGGAAAAGGTTTAGGAGCACTGGAAGGGAAAAAAAAAAAGAAAAAAAAAATTATGACGAGAAGAGAAAAAAAAACAGCTAAAAAAGGAATTCTGAAGAATTTTGAGGAAAATAAGAATTTGAGATTCAAGTCAGAATTTTGTGGGTTAAGATGGAAAACAAAATCCTGGAGGAAAACATACAGAAATCAACAGGGTAAGGGAAAAAAACCCAGCAAAAAAAACAGTATTCCCAAAGGGGGAAAAAGACAATTTCCATGTGAAACAAAAAATATTGGACAATAAGAGAACTGAGGAAAAAATAAGAGGAAAAATACAGAAATCTCAGTTTTACAGTAAAAAAAAATAATTCCACAGGAGAAAATACAACAAAAAAATCCATATTTTCCAAAAATTCAGAATTTTTTGTCAATTCTTTTTTTAGAAAAAAATTCAGAGAAAAAGAAAATTTTGAGAACAAAAACCATCCAAATTAGAATTTGGAGAAAAAAAAAGTCTGAATTTTGAGGTTCAGAGACATCATGTTTCTTCCACAGAGGCCGTAAGGCTCATCTGTAGCTTTCTACAGATGAAAGCTACAGATGAAAATTGTTAGAATTTGCAACGTAAAATCTGCTGCTCACATAACAAATATGACCAATATATCAATATCTGAACATTTAACATCTGTAATTTATTTTCTTCTAAAATACTTTTCAAACTCACCAGTTTATAGGAGATCCACCTGACCTCTGACACTTTGTCAGAGCAAAGCGTGAGCGCTATCTGTCTGAGGTAGTCGTAGACGTCGTAGTGGCTGTACAACTCTATGATTAGGATCAGCTGCCTGGAGGGAAACACAGACAAAAGGTAAATATAGTCAACTAAAAGGTAAAAAGGAACAGCACATTATGACAAATAATAGAACATAAATCAAAGCAAACTTACTCTGCCAGCTCGTATCTGAATCTCCAGTTGCGGCTGTTGTCAGTCACCATGAACTCCTGCAACTGGTACAGATACTCCCTCCTCTTGTCTGCGTGCAGCAGCTGCAGGAAGTTCAAGCCAGCTTCGTTAGCAGAGATTTGATGAGTATTTTGCGTCAATTTTCCATCAGCTGAACCAGAGATGTTACCTTCAGGAAGTCGTACAGGTGTTTCAGCACGCCGATGCGAACCTCGTCCAGGTCTTTGAGGAAACCGTTGAAGATGGGCACCAGATCCGCCGCCGTCAGCTGATCGCCAAGAATGACCGCCAGTTCATGGATGGAGAAAGCCAGAGTTCGCCGCACCTTCCACTGAGCGAGAAAATATAAAAAAATTGCTGCAACCTTTAAGCAATGTTTAGTAAACATCTAGCATAATTTTGAGGAAAGCTGAAATTTAATCTGATGCAGCAGTTTAACCTTTTTACGTTTAAATCTGCTGTGACTGGCCTGTCACAATAACCCATTTTACTGGACGATAAATTGTTCCAGAAGTTGCAGCAATAAACAATAATTCTGCAGTTTGGAGACCTTCTTCAAATAATGGTAATTGCATAATAATGGAAGAAACGCATTCAAACTTTAAATTCTAGTGAACATTTAACATTGGAAGTGGAAGACATTTTAGATACCCAAAATAAACAAAAACAACAGAAAGAACAAATGAAATTAATTAATAAATCTCTGTAAACAAAAGTGTGTTTTTAATAAAGAGTTTGACACCAAAGCACCAGACTGAAGACTTTTATCATCCAGTTTTTGGTAAAAAGAGAAAAAGAAGCAACAATAAATCATCCATTGATAAATGGAAATTATTCCGTTTATTATTCCGTTTGTTTCAATTCATCATTAATTGATTTATTGTGACAGGCCAACCTCAGGCTTCTAAACTCGTCACTTGGTTTTTTTCTCGTTGCAGTAGAAATCACAAACACTTTACAAAGTAAAAAAATTAAAAAAGTAAAACAATCTGGTTAAAGAATGTTTCTAAATTTCCACCCATCTGTGAAAATTCCTCCCCCACCAACTTCAGTCAAGCAGAACTAAAGTTTTGTGGCTTAATAATTGAAAACAGTCTCAGACTTTTTAGGCTATCCCAACTAAATGACCTGCATTTTAATTTATAAATAACACAAAGTGCACTCTTACTACATAAAAGCCAGTTTATGAGCAAAATGACAACAGAAGTAGGCTGAATCTGCCTTTTCCAACAATATCTGTCAAAGAAAAAATATAACAGAAATAAGTTTTAAAACAGAATCCCCAAGTTTCAAGCAAAAACCTTAATATTTAGGCTAAAACACTGCTGTTAAGGGCCAACTGTGGAAAATTAAAATCCAAGTGAAGGATTCAGTGGTAAATCAGGAGTTTCACACAGTGGATCTGTCAGAGAAACGACTCGGGGCATGTAAAGACAACACCAGCATCTATTTGTCCCAACATGTCCTCCAACTATTCAACTTGAGGAAAAGCCTGTAGAGCTGCCCTGACTTTTAAAGTTGTCAGGATGGAATCAGCAGCAGCGCGAGTGAGAATAGAAATATTACATTAACTGAAGGAGGGCGTAACATGACCTGTGATAATTAAATAATTAAAATGTCCTATTAGAGGCAACATGGACTCCAGACAACAAACAGTCCAACTACTGAAAAAACAAGATTTCACCGGAAAAGTTGCTTCTGTGTCAATTTACCGTATTTTCCGCACTATAAGGCGCACCTTCAATGAATGGTCCATTTTAAAACC